AAAAAAAATATGCTTCCATGTTTGTTTGACAATTTGAAATGTTAGGAGGTTGTATCAAAGCAGCCCGGCTATAAATCTGGAAATATGAGATAATTGTTTCAATAAGTTTATTAGTGGCTGTCGGAAGTAGTAGCTCCAAGCTTCATTATATTCTTCGGTAACGTGTTCTTACAGTCACAATTAAGTGATTTTTCTTGTTCATTGCTGAACAACAAATTTGTAAACTTTATAAATAGAATTTGTTGTCTTAAAACACATAATCTCTCCAGTCAATGTTATCTCATCAAGAAAAAAGTCTGCAAAGGGTCCGAGAGAACAATGTATTTACAGTGCAATGACACAACTACGCTATAAATTATCTTGTATTGCAGGACGTAAAAAGTAATGGTTTGGGAATCAGCATGTCTATCATACTGCTTCTGTGCCCAACTTCAGCTGTCAGTCAATTGTTTTTCTGGTATTCACCGTACTTGGCAGTGCTGAGAACATTTGAAAGGGTTTGCTACGTTTTCTAAGTGGATCATCGTTTCGTGGAAAAAGAAAATGCAACAATTAGGCTTTATAGTAATTGAATTTACTGATGATTATTATATTTGAATTTGGTCAATTCTGGGATCAAGTAATATAGCTAACCTTTTCGTTTCTATTCTTGTGATTACTAAATGACAGTATATCTTCTTATATAGTGTCAATATAAACACTTGAAAATGAAATTATAACTTGTTTTCAAATTCCTACTTAAGATTATTTGGTACGTCCTTGTTAGAAGTGTCTATCACAACTCGTCCAGTTTAATTTGCACATTTTATTTGAGAAAAAAATGCAAACAAAGTACAAATTGATTTACTGTAACTTTCTGTTTATTCAGTCCATAGAGGTTCAAAACTCGTCAGGACTACGGTATGTGGGAGAAGGATTAAACTGCTCTAGATTTCAAATCGTCTTGTTAGCTGAAGGAGGAAGTAGATATGGTCTTCGCTACGCTTTCTCGTAGACTTGCCCTTCCACAGCACTCATTGTTATATAGAATTTCAGTGCTAATAGCGTAGTTTGAGTTACCGGTTTCAATACTGTTGCACTTGTCACATTAATGAATAATGAGTGGAGTGACATGTGATTGTGTTTACCATCCTTACGCTGATAAAGGACTCGAATAAGAATAAGGTACTTTGTTATTGCAGAACCTTGGTTTTTCTATAATTTCATATCTTACAGTAAACATCAAAAACATTGCCTGTATATTCTATGGAAATATATTTGTATGTCTGCCAACTGTTCTTTTTGTTTAGATTATTGCTAAGAAAATCGTTATTTATTCCTCATTATACAATATGGGCAGGTTAGCTAGTTAAGAGCAAATACATTTTAAAATTTTTTACTGAGATTACTCTGCGAATCCCATTTGGCATATGAATAAAACATGACTTGATTAAGTTTATCTTATTTCTTCTGGTTATAGA